AAAAACGTGTGAACCCCCCCCCCCCCCTTAAATCTCCTAATGGGTATGCTCTTAATATACATATTTGATTCGACAAGCCTTTATTAGTTTGTTATTAGTTTAGATTTATTTTCCATTAAAAAAATACCGATAATTAAGTTGTCAGATGAAGATAGTAAGGTAAATTACAGAACAAAAGCTCATCTTTAAAGTTGATTAGGTTGCACAACAAACTCAATTAATTATCCCACTTATAAATCATTCCTTACATCACCCTTCCACCAGAAGAACAAAAAAAATTCTAAAAAAATCGTTATTTAATATTAATATCAATTAATTATTCCATTTCTTGAAAATAGGATACAAATGATCAAATATAAATTAATATTTGTCAAATTCTGAAATGATAAATATACATCTATTTATAACTATATTACTAATTGAATCTATTAAAAATAATTTAGATAATATAATTAAGGTTAGAACTTATATTTAAAAATACTTTAATAAATTTTTTAATGAAAGCAATTTTGTGATTTTTTCCGTTTATATCTGATTTTGTGATTAATATTTTTAGCGCTACCCAAAGTATAAGGTTAACGTTTTAAAATATTAAAACTCCGAGGTTCACTTCATCTATATTGGATTAAAAAGTATTCTACTAATCACTCTTTGGATAAAAGAAAAGTAGTATTAAATATTTGAGTTCTCGAGGTCCATAAAATTCATAAACATGTTTACCTTTAAAAACAAATTAACTTTGTCAGTATTAAATGTTTATTATATAAGCGATTGATTAATTAATTTCGAACGATCCAACGTTCATAAAGCGTACGTGGACCATTTTCCATCAGATCCTACCCGACACATCCTCTCTCACTCTCTCTCACCCTCCAGTCTCTTTCTCTCTCTCTGAGCTCGTCAAACAGTCCCTTTCCTTACACTTTCATTTGGCAATACATCCCTTGTCTCTATTTCTTTGTCTTCTTTCTCCATCTTTCTCTGCTACTAATATCCATTGTTGTTTCCTCTGGATGATCGGAGGGAGTATGATCAGAGTGTCTTTCGATTTAAGGTGAGTTATCTTTTTTTTTTTTTGTGATAAGTGTGAGTAAAGTTTTTGTTTGTTATTTAACATTTTACCAAAATAAAAAAAAAAGTTTTTGTTTGTTTTCATTGGACTTTCTCCAACTCTTCTTTATGTGGCTAAAAAGAAACCTAACTTTAGTGATTCGTCATGTGTTTCCATTAACGTCTTCAACATTTTTTTTAGTGCATGAGAAGCCATTGATTGAGCTAGCTCGAGCTTTATCCCATATGTGTTTTGGGAGATTTGTTATTCTAAATTTGGGAACCTTTTCGGAATTTTATTTATTTATTTTTGTTCTTCAGTCTCAATCTGGATTTCGAGTCGCATTCACTTGTATATGTGGGGTCCATCTGAGAACTGTGGGATCAAAAAGATACTAGAACAAAAAAATCTGGACTTTGTTTTTTCTACCTACGAGTTTATTTAATGAAGTCTTAAAGCTTTTCTGAAGTCTTTCTATGTTATAGGATATAGTCAGAGATTTAAGAGGAGGCGTGTGGCTTGTGGGGGTAATAGATGGACCATAAAGCATGGCCTTGGAAGAAGAAATCAATGGACAAAACCCTTGTCCAAAGCAATGGAGAGGTAAGGTGGACATTTATGATAAAGAGTACACTTGTATCTTTCTTGTTGTTAGGTTGGACAATTGATCTTCTTTGCTCATTTATATGGTTAATACTCAAGTACCAAAGTGTGATCTGTTTGGGATTATGTAGTCCCACTAGGTTTGCTTGTCTTTCTTGGTAACACAAAAGCAAAAGCTTTTGCTAATGTAATTTGAAGCACCATTGATTGAGAATCTTCTTAGGTTTTGTATCCGCTGCAATCTTAGTCTAATCATGAGCTTGATTGTTCCCACAATTAGATTGAGAAGCTTGTTGCTGACAAGATACAGCTGGAGAATCGCCTTAAGAGTCTAAATGATAAGCTTACCTCTGTCGAAGCTGAGAACAATAAGCATAAGACTGAGGCACAAGAAGCAATAATTGGTAACTTTACTTCTATGTCAACCTCTTTTGAATCTTATCTATGTAGAGCTTCCTGTTTCATATGCATTTTCTGTTAACAGGATGGGAGAATACAAAAGCTGAATCAGCATCTCTCAAGAGGAAGCTAGAGGGAGCTTTGAATGAGAAACACAGGAGCGACGAGAGGTCGAGTCACATGGAAGCTGGTCTAAAAGAATGTATGCAGCAGCTTCGTTTTGTCCGGGACGAGCAGGAGCAAAGGATGCATGATGCTTTGACAAAAGCACCACATGATTATGAACAAACTTTGAATGTTCTAAAGAAAGAAATGGCAGATACGTGTAAGAAACTTGCAGAAGTAGAAGGAGAGAACACTCAACTCTCAAAGGTTTGTTAGCAAAGAACAAAACTGTTGAAGATTTAAACAGAGACAGGGAACTTATCGTGTCTGAGTTCAATTCTTTGGTGGGTAGCTTAGAGTTAAAGGAAAAAGAAAACGTTACACTGAGATATGAAGTTAGAGTACTGGAGAAAGAGCTTGAGCTACGGAATGAAGAAAGAGAGTTTAGTCGTCGAACCGCTGAAGCATCTCATAAACTTCACTTAGAGAATGTGAAGAAAGCTGCAAAGCTAGAACAAGAGTGTCAAAGGTTACGTGTACTTGTCAGGAAACGATTACCAGGACCTGCTGCTTTGTCCAAAATGAGAAACGAAGTAGGGATGTTGGGAAGCAGAAGGGTCACTAACGGCGCCATGATCAATAACCTCACTGAGCAGTTGTGCTTACTGGAAGAAGAGAACAAGACTCTGAGAGATGCCTTAAGCAAGAAAGTCAATGAGCTTCAGTTCTCAAGAAACATGTATTCTAGAACAGCGTCTAGGCTACTAGAATTCGAGTCTCATCTCGAGGAATCTTCTAAAGGCACAACAAACATTGAGCCAAGCCGGAGCAGCAATGTGTCCCATGAAGTCTCTCTTGCATCGTTTCCAGAGTTTGATAAAGTTAGCTGTTCTGATTATTGGGCAGAGCTGGAGAATTTCCAGAACAAGAAGCACATTGGCTCCACACCTAAAGCTTCAGAGATGGAACTAATGGATGACTTTGCTGAAATGGAGAAGCTTGCAATGGTTACAAGTACAGTACCTGGAAGCTCTCCTATCTTCTCTTCTGATTCCATTTCAGCCACTGGTCCAGTAGAGAATGAATCTAATATAGATTCATCAGAGGCAACGAAAATTCACATGAACCCTGATGAAGAAGTACTTGAAGATATCAGTAAAGCTCTGTCAGGTGAACAGACCGAGAATGTCACTGTGGAGAGTGCACCAGACTCAGAGTGTGATATCAGCAACTCCATTCGCAGAATCGTTAAAATTATTGAAGGAGCCAGCTTAAAAGATGAGAGGCATGGAGAATCAGAAAGGCTTTCGGGTTACACTGCTCGTGTCTTGCAATGGAAAACTACAGAGCTAAGTAGTGTATTGCAGCGGTTTCTTAAGACTTGTTACGATCTAATAGACAGAAAAGCAGACATGAAGAAGTTTGCAGAAGAGTTAAGCTCTGTGTTGGAATGGATGGTGAACCATTGTTTCTCTCTTCAAAATGTTTCAAGCATGAGAGAAGAGATCAAGAAGCAGTTCGAATGGGATGAGTCACGGAGTGTAAGCGATGTTTCCTCTTTAGCTTGCAAGGATCAGTGGATTGAAGACAAACCTGACAATCACAAGCTGCAAAGCAAAATGGTTGAAGAAGAGTCAAAGGACAAGACGGCAAGGTAAATATGAATGCTTGAACACTTGGATCAACCATAGACTTAATCTCTGATGCATCCACTGGTATTCTTGTTGCAGTGCTTCAGTGAACGATCTCAAGTTGGAGGAAAGGCAAAACATACGAACTGTAAGTAACCAGGAGAAGATCAAATTCTTACATTTTGACAAATGAGAGGTTGAGATTTTGTTCTGTGTTTGATGATTCAGGATTTGGAGATCACTGCTGCTTCTGAAAAGCTAGCCGAGTGTCAAGAGACGATTATAAACCTTGGAAAGCAGCTCAAAGCATTGACTAACTCAAACGAAGCAGCTTTACTTTCAGACAAACTCACACCTGAGCTTATCCACAAACCGAACAACCTACTTACCGCACTACCTCCACAAGAGACAAAACCAGAGAAGAGATTGACCACTCAGAGATCATCTCTTTTGGATCAGATGAAGGCAGAAGATCATGACACTGGAGAATCCAAGGATCAGGAGAAACCTCAAGCAGCTGATAAAAACGGAAAAGGAGGCGGTTCAGTCTACACTGAAACCATTGACGCATTGGAACAGATTCTTCTCTCGGACAAGAAAATCAAAGGCTCTGAATCAAACTGCTTCGCCATTACTCCTCAAAAAAAGAACGGCGGAGTTAAGAGCCTCTGGAGAAAGCTGTTTGGGAAGAAAAGCAAAAGTAGGAGCAAAAGGCTCCCTCATCTATTTGCCACCTAAGAAGATGGTTTCACTATAATCTAATACATTGATCATGTTCCTACTATGTTACCCGTGCTAAGCAAACTAAAAACTGTCATATTTCATAGAACTTTTGGTAGAATATATATATAAATCTCCACGTAGCTTACCCAATGAGATGATCATTCTGTTTCATTTCAATTAGTCTCAGAAATGATACGATCAGTAGTCTTTTCACCCAATGAATCTATCTTTAAGCAGGGTTTATGTAAATTTGAAATGTGGACTCAGAATGCAAATTCTATCTGCCTTCCACGTCAACTCAAGTCTCGGAAAAAAACATCAGTACCACTGATCAAGTGACCTTGAAAGAAGACATCTCAGTCTCTGTGCAGAACAAAGTTGGCGATGTCGTTTAGTCCAGCTTCCTTGTAGCACTGAGCAACCCTTTCCAGTGACTCGTCCCAGGTCCCTTCAAGTGACGCTAGATCAAGTAACAACCCAGCCTCGTCATAAGATGCCTGACAATTACATGTTTTGTTTCAATCCCTTGTATTCAGATGAGTATCTGAACTGAGACAATGTAAAGAACGAACCTGGGCCCTTGGCTTTCCTCTGGATATATCCCGTTGTCGTCCTTCTCCTGTAACTTTTTCTTTGTACTGTACAATTTGCTCTTCACCCCACTCTGCTATCCGAGCAATTTCCTGTACAATCATTTCATATGCTCAACACTTTCTTCCCTGTTATTTGCCGATTTAAAGACATTCAAGGTAATGTACCTCGTATCTGCATCCTAAGGTCCACCACGAAGATTTCAGAGCACCCCTAGCCGCATCTTTCGCTTCTAAGCTACGCCCAAGTCTACATAACCAATCATAGAGGTCTTAGCGTTTTCTAGAAAATACGTAAGCATTTGTACGTAGACACATTAATATGAAAGAAAGAGGGCTGGCGAGGAAGGATTATACGAACTTCAGTAAAACCTTTGCGTTAAAAGCAAAAGGCCGAGCAAATCCAGGAAAGTTTCCTCTCTTTGTATAAAACTCGGCAGCCACCAATGCTGAAACCTTGTATTAGTAGCACATGAAGATAGTTAGGAAGAAAACGAGTTGACTACAACAGGATAGATGTTGTTAGTAGCCTTACATGGTCTCCATTCTCAATATGTCGAATAACTTTGCGTTCTAGAGAATCCGGAAACAGTCCAACCTAAACAACAAAGCTAATAGTTATCCCAACATCCATGTGCCCAGAAAGAGTCTGATATCAACACGTTCAACATATGTGTACCTTTCTTAAAAGATAGAGATCTAAATCCATCAGTTCTGATCTGGCAAAGTCACCCTTACTGTAAATTTTCTTGGCAGCTTCACCAGCAGCATCAAAGATCACTTGGCTGGACTCTTCGGGTTTAGAGATATCTTCTTCCACCAATATTCTGTGAATGAACTGATCAACCTGAATGATTGGGCAATGAAGTCAGATATGAGAGTGATCAGCCAGCAAAAGAAATGCTAAACAGAATATAAACCTAGCGCAAAGTTTCTCATTACATTACTGGCTAAAAACCAAACCCCATGTTTCTGAACTTCCACCACAGGCATCTCCATACTGCAAACACAGCAAAAAAAAATGATAAGATATCAAAGAAGATAAAAGAGGACGGCGCATCAATAGAAAGGATCTTCTGACCTAGGACGAGCTGTTGGCCACCGTAGTAGAGCAATGGAAGAACCTGAAAAGTACAAGATAAGTCATGCAATATCTCAGGGCTCCAACTTACAAGTCTTGTAGTCAACGTGAATGTGTTTCAAACTTATGCCAAGATCCATAGTCATACCCGGGCTCATTCTCACCAATGGAATAGTAAGAGGCAACAAGCCTTGCTTGGCACCAGGAGAAGCTATGGATTTGCCTGACAATAACACATACATAAAACAATAACAAGTCAATGCAAAATCACATACAAGTAACCAAGTCAAATGTAAAGATTGATCAACCTCTAGCTTTGAATATGCTAAGCAGCTGAGTCAAATGCTGAGGAGGCTGAGCTTTGGCTACCTCCTTGATGAAACATTCATGCTCTGCAACAACGAATAATCATAACCACCTGTTAACTTCAATCCATAAGAATCAAATCATACATATTCGCCAAACGATCTCAAGCAACATTTCTAGATGTTGAAATGAAATAGCGGAAAATGCGAATCATAGAAAGGAAAATTATACTATCAATCACCAGATAATGGAGAAGAAGAAAAGTTAAAGGATCTCGCGGCGAAGTTTCTGCCGACGCGAAGTATCAGTCGTCGATTCCGTCCGTTAACCACCGCGCCGCAATGCATCTTCAGGTTTTTCCGATCGTCGTATTGTTTCTCTTCCGATGTGATGCCGAGACAGAGAAGACGCTTTGTGAAAAGATAAACCCCAGTTCAAGCCCATAAATTAGGGTTTAAAGCCCAATAAATCTCTAGGCCCCGCAACGTATCGAAGAAACACTTACCTCGATGTACAGAATATATTATTTTTGAGAAAGATCTGATAAAAAAACCTTCAGAATGTCACATACTATCGCTTTGAACCTCGAATTTTTTTATTTTTTCACTAAAATTTTTTATCTTTAAAATAACATTTGTAGCACAATAAACCTCCAAAATAAAAAGAAAAACCAATAATACAGGTAAAAGAATGATGTGTCAGTCTTTTTTTTTTTTTTTTTTTTACATCAATAAGAAACAAAAACTTATATAGCCACGGTGAACCAAGCCGGTGGCTCTGTATCCATGTGAACAACAAAAGATGATTGCTTCCTCGCACTTTGTGCTAGTCTATCCGCCATTGTATTATGTGTCCTGGATACGTAGATGATTGCCGAACTGTGTAAACTCCCTTTAAGCGTCTTGATATCCTCCAGATACGTTGCGAAAGCTGGCCATTCCTCTGGTTCTGAAATCATCTTCACCAATTGGGAACAATCTGTTGCAAAAGTAACTGAATCTTGACGCAAATTTCTCATGCTTTCCATCGCCCAAATAAGGGCCTCCATCTCAGAGTGAAGAGGTGAGAGACTAGCCCTGACCTTCCTTGCGCCCATTAGACCCTCAAAACCCTCAAGAGTGCTATACCATCCCTGTCCATCAAACACATCTTTGTCTTTCCATGAACCATCAACGAAACACCAACGTCTAGTAATAGCCGGCAGTGCTGCAACCTCGCGTAAGAATGGCTCGCGCTGGGGAACTTTAATCTGAGCCTCTTCCCAGAGGGTAGCTTCCGTCTCTGCTAACGTGAGAGTCTTTTTTGGATCGACATCCAAGTTACTAAAAATCTTACTATTCCGTGCTTTCCAAATGTACCATAATATCCATGCGAAGTGATGATCAGCCATCTTCGGGAAAACCCTCCAAAACAAATGATCCATATTCGTGAAGAAACCCTCTGTGGGGAAAGTAAGAGGATTCAGTGGAATTTTTGATAGGCCCCAAATTTTACGAGCTGGTGGGCATTCATAAAAAACATGATTAACCGTTTCCTCGGCAGCACCACATCTATCACAACAAATATCACCCTTTATCCCTCTTGTCTGAAGATTTTTCCTCACCGCAATACATCCCGAGAGCAGCTTAATGTGTCAGTCTTTTATTATAAAAAAATATTTAATTCATAAAATAAATGGAAAAATTACAAACAATTCTGAAATTTAAGAATAATCAGAAATTTTAATAAAATTTAATGAAATTAAATAAAGATTCTGATTTTTGTTTCTAAGAGTTCAGAAAACTAAATAAATATTTATAAAAATTTTAAAATAACTAAAAATAAAAATTTAATCAAACCAAATTAAAATACAGAAAAACTGAAAAAACCAGTTAAATTTGAATAAAAATTTGAAAATTCAAAAGTTCAAAATAAATTTTTGCCATTTTCAACGATGATGTCGTAAGCTATCATTGAAGTTATGCCAAAAATCGTCATTGTCAAAGGCTAAGTGAAAACTATCATCGTCATAAATTATATATCTGAAATTGTTCATGTAAACAATGATATGATATTTTTAAAAAATCTTGTAACTTATAATAAATATATTTTGATTTTTGAATTTATTAATTTTTTAAATTTATAAATTTATTAATTTTATTTAGTTTTTCTGTGTCTTAATTTAATCTTATTTATTTTTTGAATTTCTTAGTTATTTTTTGAATTTAATTTCTAAACATTTATTTAATATTATAAATCTTTATTTAATTTTCTGAAAATTTCTTCTTTTTTTAACTGAATGTTTATTAATATGAGTTTTATTAAAATTTCTGATTTTATTTAATTTTCAGAATTTTATTTAATTTTTTGTTTATTTTATTAATTAGATAATTATTTTTTGAAAAATATTCGGACACATTTTTACATGTACATTTGATCAACTTTTTATTTTGAAGGTTTTTGGTGATACAAATGTCACTTTGAAGGTTAACAATATAAGTGAAAAAAATTCAAGGTTTAAAGTAGGGCAATTCTCTCGAATAGACATTTTAAGTTCTTATCACAAAATAGATTTCAAAACCTAAAATGACCAAAATAAAAATTTAAAATAAATAATTTAAGTTATTTCTTAAATTTTAAAATCTTATCTTCAAAACTCTTCTCTTCAACTCTAAACAAAAAAATCTAGAATTAATTAACCCAAAGAGTGTTGTGAAAAAAGAAACAAAAAAAAGTTAGCCCAAAGTGTATAAATGTATATCTACTTATTTTTTATAAAACTTTTAAATTTGTGTTGGCTATTTTTATTTTTAAGATCTATATTTGTGACAAAAAAATTTTTATATCTATCCTAAAGAGTTTATCTTTAATATGCGAGTAAATGACATTTTGAAAAAAAATTATACGATTCTCACTATTATTGTTTTTAAAAATCGAACTGCCATGTCATCTTTTTCCCACTAACTTAATTTATTTGTAATCAAGAAAAAGAAATTGTATAATTTTTACGCTTTGCAATTCAAAACCACTGCTAGAAAAGTATCTGGTCAATTTCAACC